TATTTTTCTTTTTCAACAACGAGAAAAATCGATGGCTTTTATCGGATGACCTCGAGATAAATCGCCCAGGGCTGCAATGCGCCCGGTTAGCCTTTGTACAGCCTTCACGTTATCCACTACCGTGATATCCTTGATAGCTTTGATCTTGTCGGGGTTGATCTCGATCCCTCGGTTGGATACCATGAATCCGAGAACTTTACCGGACCCGACCCCGAATGCACACTTTTCTGGATTCAGCTTCATGTTGTATTTCTTCAATATACTGAAGGTTTCCTACAAATTCTTTAAATGGTCCTCTGCTCGCAGGGACTTAACTAACATATCGTCAAAATAAACTTCCATGATTTTCCCTATTTGTTCTTCGAACATTCGGTTTACTAGTCGTTGGTAAGTGGAACCAACATTTTTTAATCTAAATGGCATTATGTTATAACAGTATGTGCCATACTTAGTGATGAAAGAGGTTTTTTCTTGGTCACCTGGGTTCATCCGTATTTAGTTGTACCCGAAATAGGCATCGAGAAAACTGAGAATCTCGTGGTCGGCAGTGGCATCTATCATGCGATCGATGTTAGGAAAAGGGAAAGAATCTTTGGGGCATGCCTTATTTAATCTTTATAAGCTACACACATTCTCAATTTGTTCCCTTTCTTAGGAACTACTACTACGTTCGCTAACCATTCCGGGTATTTGACCTCCCGGATGGACCCTATTTTAAGGAGTTTAGTTACCTCGTCTTTGATGAAGGCATGCTTGATCTCGGACTGGGGTCTCCTTTTCTGCTTTACTGGATGAAACTTTGGGTCCAAGCTCAGTTTGTGAGTAGTGATTTACGATGGGATCCCTGTCATATCGAGATGGGACCAAGCCAAACAATCCATATTAGCCGTAAGAAATTGAACGAGTTTTTTCCTGAGCTCGGGAGTTAATCCCATGCCCAAGTATACCTTTCGATCGAGCAGATGTTCAATCAGCACGACCTGTTCCAGCTCTTCTACCATTAATTTGGTAGCATCGAAATCATCAGGGGCGATAAAGGATCGAGGAATCCCGTAGTCATCATCTTCGTCGATCCCTTGCTTGTCCGATTGGGTCGAGGCTGACATCGATGATTTTTATTTGGCTTCCTATTTCGCTTTCGAACCTGAGTCTTTTGTCGATGAGAGTGTTGATATTGGAATTACTTCATCAATGACAAACATCTCCTTTGCGGCAGGTTGTTCTCCGTAAACCGTCTTTATCCCCTCTGGTATTGGAAATTTCAATACCTGATGAAGGGTCGTGGGCACGGTCCTCATGTTGTGGATCCATGGTGTTCTAAGCAGGGTGTTGTATCTCATTTCCCCCTCGATTACATAAAATTTGGTCTCCTGGGTGGTACCGGCTATGTTTACCGGCAACGTTATATCTCCCTTAGTAGTTTCGCAAGCAATGTTGAATCCGTTTAGCACTCGGGCCGCGGTTACGATCCGGTCGTGTAGGCCGAGTTGTTCTATGATCCTTGATCAAATGATGTTGGCCGAGCTACTTGGATCAATTAGCAGATGTTTAACTCGAGCTTTATTCATAAGTACAAAAATTACCAGTGCATCACTATGGGGTTGCATGATTCCTTCTGCATCTTCGTCGCTAAAAGATATGGTCCCTTCTGGTAGGTAATCTCGAGTCCGTTTTCCCTTGTGATTGACACTTTGTTGTGATTCATCATCGGACCTTAAGGAACATCGACCCCTCCGATGATCATATGGATGGCGTGCTGGGGTTCGTTTTGTTCATTTTGTTTGTTGGAGTCCCTGTTTCTGAAGTGGTTCTTAGCTCGGTCACTCAGAAATTCTCGAAGGTGACCGTTGTTGAACAACCGGGCTACTTCCTCCCTTAATTGTCGACAATCCTTCGTTCTGTGGCCATGTGTTCCATGATATTTACATATTTAGTTGGGATCTCTTTGTGTTGGATCAGTTTGCAAAGGTCAAGGCCACTTGGTATCTTTGATACGTCTAATGGCCGATACGATGGCAGCTGCGTCCATATTAAAGTTGTATTACAATAATCGTGGTGCCTTTTTGGGATCGACAGATCTGTCGAAGCCATTCTTGCTCATGAGTCCCCGTGAACCTTGACCTTGATCATTTCTCCTTTCATTCCGTGCAGAATTTCACCCAGATCTGCTGCCTCTACGATCTCCATTATACGGCTAATATCGATCTCTATTCGACCTTGGTTCTCGGTCTATATCCCTCTTGATTCTATCGATAGGTCTGATAGGATAAACGGACACCGAAGGAGCCCCAAGTTGATCGTCCTCAACCCTGATCTTTGACTGATACCGATTATGCACATCGGCCCAAGTAACAACAGGTATTCTATCAAATTCTGCTTCAATTGTTGTGAAGCCACTGAGCTTCAAATGTTGAGCCCTTGAGTGAAAGCTTGAACCGCCCAATCATCAGCGACCAACAGCAAGTCCATCCGTTCCATTTGGAATCGAGACACGAATTCTCTAGGCATTTCGTTCTCCTTCTGCGTCACCTTGAAAAGGTCCGACTTTCTGGTTTCGACCTTGATCCCCGGCATGTCATTTACAAAAGAATATGCAAGCATAGCAAATGAGTCAATAGAATTAGGTGGTAAATTATGGTACCATATCATAGCTCCATTCGATAGGTTCTCCCTGAATTTCTTCAACAAGACGGATTCGATCTCGTCATCTTCTAGATCATTCCCTTTGATAGCACATGTGTAGGAGGTGACGTACTCGTTTGGATCAGTCGCTCCATTATACTTAGGAATCTCGGGCATGAGGAACTTCTTGGATATTGGCTTCGGAGCCGCACTCGGAGGGAAAGGTTTTTGTACGAGCTTTTTGGAATCCAGTCCTTTCAATTTTGGTAGTGCCCCCGGGATTTTGTCGACCCTGGAGTTATAAGTCTCCACCTTCTTATCGTTTGCCTCGATTTTCTTTTCTCCCGACTCAATTCATTTTGTTAGTTCTTCAAGCATCTTCATGATCACAGGGTTGGTCTCCGATTCTTTCTCGCTCGATTTTCTTGAAACCGATTCGACCCTGTGTACAACTTCCTGCGGCGGCTCGGGCTCGACCCTGCTCGGTATGTGATTCTGGTTTTGGAGCTGGGCTATTACCGCCTGTTGAGCCTGGTTTTGGAACTGAGCCATTTTCACCACCACGTGCGCTTTGAGCGACTGATCGAGCATCCCCACAGACGCTGCCTTCGGGATCAACGGCCAAATTTTCGTTGATGGCTACATGTGAACTGACGTCAATTGTATCTACAGCCGGAACTCCATCGAGGCCAACATGGGGTACATCGCTCCCTGGTGCTATGTTCTCACTTTCGCCGTGGTGGCCGAGATCATTGTCAACGTGTTGAGGTGCTGACTGAGAGTTTGATATTTTTTAATCCTGTAATCAAATATACTTCAAATAAAAAGTGTAAAATAGTGTGCGTTACGGAAGTTTGTACCAGGTAACCACTTTTATCCTCAGCCCCACGGTGGGCGCCAAACTGTTTACCCTAAAATCAGATAATAATTGAATTTATACTCGGTTTTAAGGACACGTGATATAACTTGGTACAAATTAAGAAGAGTAAATTCGTATTGAAATTGACGATAAAAGAATAAATGCAAACCACACAAATTGAATAGCCTTGGCCCTCGAAATCGGTCACCCTTGAACAAAATATGTTTCTACTGGCTTGTGAACAAAATAACAAGATAATGAAAGCTAGAAAATGATAGTATGTTGCTTTGTATTGCGTGAATATCATATGTTGTACAAATGATCAGATTCCCTTTATATAGTAGGGGAATCCTACTCTTGATACAATTCTATATGAGGTAAGAAATCCCGTGATTAGCTAAATAATCGGCCTCTTCTTGATACGTGCTAGGATCTCCGCTGTGATCCTCGCCCGATCGCGGATATTTCGGCTTTTCGTTATTTGGCTCGGTAAGCTTTCTTGATCTCGCTCGATTTCTATCTTGCTCGGTCTCGATCTTGGACGATCTCGATCTTGATCGTTCTCTGGGTCGCGAGCTCGGCAATCTTACTTTGCATCATGGTTCGATATAACACGAGGCTGAACCTTGGCCTATCATGTTTTGGTCTCGATTAGTCATATAAAGGGCAAACCCGATTTTGACCGTATACACCATCATTTTTAGAACGATAAGTTAGGTCACTATGAATGAATATCACGGTAATACATCAAATTATTCTTGAAATTGTTCCTTTAACACAGAGCCAAACGCAATGCTTGTGACCAGTGGCAGCGGCATGATTTTCGCTAAGGGGGTTAAAAAAAAAAGTTAAAAAAGATTGTAACTAGTGGGATTTAAACCATGACCTTTCAAAGATTTTGACTCCCATCGACCACTAAGCTATGCTTTGGGCTATGTTAAGGGGATTCAAAACATAATATATAGAGGTAAAAAACAGATTTTGCTTAATATATAGTGTAACTTTTCGGCGCAGGGATTTCACCCCCTTCCGCCCCTAAATCCGGCCCTGCTCGTGACTGTATTAAGTAAATTAATCAGATACTAACTGTTTCAATTATGTAGGATCAAACCTTGGAATCCTTCCAACTTGTCTTAGTTCTTTTTTATCATTTTTTATCGGACTTTCTTAAATTCATATGGTACGTTATGAATTTCAAACTTCCTAGCTTACATGAAAACATGAGCAAGCTCAAAAAAATTTCACTACTCATATGACCTCGCGTCATTGTAGATATTCTATTCACTTGTTTAAATTTTAATGATTTCAAAATTTTAATAAAACTACAAATATTTTATCAACTTATTATTCGAAACCGAACAAGAATAATTCAGGGTTCTGAATTAAAGCCTATTCTGTCAAGTTTGTGGTGAGGTTAGCCAAGAGAAATACTTATGACATCCAAATTGAAGATTTTGACATAATAAATTCCAGTAAACGGATGGAAACCTTGCCATACTATTTCAATATTGTCCAGAAAAAGGAGTTAACTAATTGCTGCATCAAATACTAGTAAGTATTATATAAAGCCAAAAAATTACATTGCACCTCCATTATTTACCGGTAACAGAAAAAGGGAATAAAGCAAAATACCCTCTTCTAATTTTTCTTAATCCTTCCTTAAACCACCTAATAAACTCTGTTTTTATTGTTTTTTTTCTCTTTCTTTTTTCATAACTCAAGCTTTTGGTGCTTCTTTAGCCAACATTGGAGGCTGTGACATTGAAACACTAATGGCTACTGCACTGCTTTGCATTTCTATGTCATTTACTTCTCTATCTTCTAAAATCATCATTTGGTTGTTCTCTGTAACTCCTTTCAATGGTTCAGGAATTGCAACCTCAATTTCTTTCTCCTTATATTCCTTGTATTTTCCCCATAAAACTGAGTATAGTCCAGCCACAATTAGCACTGCTCCTAGCACACTGAAACACAAAAATATAAAAAGTGTCATTCTTTTTAGAAAAATAAATACGGACATGTAAAATGGACCAGAGAGAGTATGACATAGAAAGTTAAACTTACCCTCCAAGATAGATTTTTTCAGCAAGAATGAAAGAGCCCATAATAGCAACAATGATCATCATCAAGGGACTGAAAGCAGTGACAAAGACAGGTCCTCTTTTCTCCATTACAAGACCTTGAACATAGTATGCAAGACTTGATGATACAATACCCTGAAATTTAATAAAATAATACCCATAATTATATTTTAGGAGGAGAAGGGAAACATGATCCGAAGGAGGTTCAATTGAATCCTCCTCGTCGAATAATTATACTGGGTTAAAATAATTCTTCATATATAGAACGGTCGAATTCTCTTGACATAAGAAAATATCACTAAGGTGTAATATTCTTTGCAATTTTTTAAATCCCTTATTTACAGAAAGGGGATTCTTGGAGCAACAGTAAAGTTGTCTCCGTGTCCTATAGGTCATGAGGTCGAGCCGTGGAATCAGCCACTGATGCTTGCATCAGAGTAGACTGCCTACATCACACCCACTTGAGATGCGTATCCTTCTCGGACCCCGCGTGAAAGCAGGATGCTTCGTGCACTGAGCTATCCTTTTTATTAGAATTTATATGAGGGATGAGGAATAAAGAAAGGAACATACAGCATAGGCAGCAGCAAGAAGGTTCATGTCAAAACCAATAGCCCAAGCAGAAGTTTTGTGTTCCATCACTAAGGTGACAGCAATTGATTGCAGAGTTCCCATAAAGCAAACAAGTGCAGTTAGAGAAAGTGGAGCAGTGTATTTCCTCATTGTAACATTCTGTCACAAAACATCAAACAAAAATACATTAACAACAACAACTATTTCACAACTATTTTAAAAAAAATTGAGTGTATATATTACATACCTGAAGTATAAAGAAAGAAGCCCATGCAAAAGTGGCAAGAATTAGAAGGATTGAACCTTTAAGCCAATCTTTATCAGTAGCTTCATTGGATTCAGGAACATTAGAAGTATTTGTATGGATATTATTTGACCAAACCAAATTAATAACATGTCCTTTGTACAATGTCATCAACATGGCTCCAGCCACAGTCACTATAGTACCCACAACTTTTGCTTGGCATCTCAACTTTTTTATATGCACTTTCTCCATTCTGAAATTCATTCTTTATTTATTAGTTCCAAATTTTGGAATAATAATTAGAAGAAATATTAAATTGAACATATATGTATATATGTACCTGCATAGGACAGCCATGACAAATGTCATTGCAGGAAGCATGTTGCTCATGGCACATGAGAATGTTGGGGATGTAAACTTAAGTCCCATGTAGTAGAAGTTTTGATCAATCACTGGCCTGTTTTGAATCAAATCATAGATTTAATTTTTTTTTTTAACATAAGTAAAAAAAGGATCTAAGCTATATAAACTGATCGTTTAAGATTTCTTTCTGTTATGAATATAGTTTAATATGTGATAGCACATTAATTACCATTTTTGTAATGTTACAGTAACCACTTAGGAAGTGACTTGATTATATAAATATATTGTTTATTCCGTTAGTGTATAGAACTTAAACTTATATAGAAAATTCGAGATTTGAGTTTCATAAATAGGACATAGAGAGACACTCACCCTAGAAGGCCCAATACAAAAATTTGCAAGAACATCATGAAAGTCATCTTTGGTCTGAGTTTTCTGCACAAAACAAAGACAATTTAAGGACTTAGCATTATTTTCATTTTACAGCAAGATAAATCAAGAATGGTAATAGAAGTTTTAACTATTTTCTTGCATGTGGAGAATTATATTACCTTTCAAGAACAAGAGCAAAAGGAGCAATAGCTGCAGTAGCAAAGGCATGTCTATAAACAACCAAAACATAATGACTCATTCCTCCATTAAGGGAAACTTTAGTAATAATATTCATTCCTGCATAACCAAATTGCAATGAGATCATTGCTATGTAAGGCTTTGCCTTTTGGAAGAAACTACTTAAACATCCTGCTTTGTTCTCCATCTTTGTTTTGTTATGTTTTCTCTCAGCTAAATATATATATTTTTATATATTGTATTCTCAAAGAGAGCAGAGTTATATTAAGAAGAACTCAAAGGTGAAAACAGGAGAACACTTCAAGTACTCTTAGAGGATCTTGTGTTTTTCCTAAGGAAATGAAGTGAGACCAATTACCTATTTATAGACAACATTGGCAAAGGCAACATTTCTGTTATCCAAATAGTGGAATAAAATAAATATATAAATAAATACGCGTGTGAGAATCTATAAGTGTAATTTGCACTTTCCCTATCACTATCTCATATCTCATGTATTCATTAGTTTGCTGTTAATACTAAGACGCTGGGAATATATAAATTTTCACCTTATATATATGTCCATATAATTTAAGTTTTACATACTAAACGAAATTTTCAACACAACGTTCTGTTACTAAGTCAACCGCAAGTAAATATCTATATTACATATACGAATTTAAAATATAAGTAATTTGCTACCATCGATTTACAATAATAACAACAAAAAAATCCAGTGTGATCTCACAAGTAGGGTCTGGGGAGAATAGTGTGTGCGCAGACCTTATTCCTACCTTGTGAAGGTAGAGAGGTTGTTTTCAATTTACCTCGGCTCGGTAAAAGTATATAAATATTATTAAAAAGAGACACAGTAATAAATACAATCATGGAAAAGAAGCAATAATAAAAAACATTAATAACAACAAAATAATAAGGTAACCGAAGCATCGATTTATTTGATGGAATAATATTTATGATATAAAAAATCTTTATATTTTTAATGTATATTACTGTCTATGATGAAACACATTAATCATGTTGAGAGAATCCCACTAGGGGAATTTGCTAAAGAAATTCTTGTTTTTTTCTCTATCCTTCTAGTGGTAAAGTGATTTGAGAGCTATCAAAATGAAAGAAAGGTAAATTTAGTGCTATGCTGATGCCACATTGATCAAATGGGAGTTGGTGGTGGGTCCTCTGTTTAACATGGACCCCACCAGGCTATCGTCATTCCAATATGCGGCATTCCGACACCGGTGATCGGTCGGAATTATGGTGTCATATACATCGGACTTTCAATAGTAGTATTGTTATGGTTACTATAAATAAACAATTGATTGTTTTTAAGATTATGGGATTTGCTGATGTAAACTAAAGTAAATATGCTTTTGTTAGTGTGGCACTGGCTAAGCATGCTAATGTTTTTTGGTTTTGAGTTTTCTGTTGGATTTTGTTGTTTAATAACAAAAGAAGTGTGAATAAAAAATGGTGGGAAAAAAAATGGAGGGAAGTGAAATTTTGAATGAGTTCACTAATGCACTTTGTTCCTCATTGGTAGAAGGAAAGAAAATCTTTGTGTATATAAAGAGAAGCTCATCTTTTAGCTCTTAAAGAGCTAAGAAGAAGGCAAGCCTCGCGTCGTCGTCGTCGCTCGCTCGGCTTCGGCTTCGGATTTTAATAAATTAAAGAAAATTCAATTCGGAATAACCCATGACCCGCGACCCGGTCCGGTCCGGCCCATTTTTCTTTCCCGGATTATTTTAAATCCGTTTTAAATTTCCCGCAAAATTTTCAACAGCCATGGATGTTCTGAAAGAGTGTCACACCTGTTCCAACAGCCATGGCTGTTCTGAAAGGTTGCACACCTTTTCAGAAATAGCACCGAAATTGGCTATAAATACACCTTCAAATCCCAGAATATTTACTTACGAAATTTTCTGAATCTTCTTCTTCTTCTTCTGCACAAAAATTCCAGTGTGTTTTGCAGCCTTCGGGTGGTTCGCTGTTCATCGGCGTTTTTTGGTACCAATACTCCGGTGAGTTAAATCGTTCTATCCTGGGAGGATATATTCCAGAACCTCGGGTACTTGAGAGGAATAATTTCCTTAAGGACACACTGTGTATTTAGTGGGCTCGATTTGTTCCTATACCTTTCTCAGAATTTATTTTGAAGAAGTTTACTGTTTTCGGAATTTAAATTCTACTAACTTTCTGTTTCTATTTTCAGAAAGATTATTATTTAATTTATTTACAGCAATACAGATATATAACAATTTTAAGGAAATTATATTTATTATATTCTGTATTCTGTCTGAATTTTACTATTTTGATTTGAAGATATGAAAACTTCATCAGGGTATTGAAATTCAGAAAACGATTTGAAGAACATAAAAACTCCATCGTTTTTCTGTAAAACAGTATATAAAAAACATTAGTTGTTTTTATTACGTATTGTTTATTGATTACATTATTATTTACTGTTTTGGTTTTGCCATTAATTGATTTCTTCTGTTGTTGACAGTAAGAATTGACAAATGAAAATGGAAATCCTTCTGCGACTGTTGGTGCAACGACGATAGCCTCGTCAAGCCGCACTGCTGTTCCTCCGGCTGAGAAACCAGGGAAATTTTCCGGAACTAACTTCAAAGGATGGTAGCAAAGGGTGTTCTTCTGGCTTACCACACTTGGTATGCGGAAATTCACTAGTGAAGAGACTTCAGTGCCTGCTGCGGACATGGCGGACAATGAAAAGTTCATGGTTGTTGAGGCGTGGAAATAGGCAGATTTTCTTTGCAAAGGCTATATCTTAAGTGCTTTAGAAGATGACTTGTACAATGTGTACAGTGCAATAAATACTTCGAAATAATTATGGGACGCACTTGAGAATAAGTACAAGACAGAAGATGCATGCTTGAAGAAGTTCGTGGTTGCCAAGTTTCTAGACTATAAAATGATAGACAGCAAAACTGTGAGAACACAAGTTCAGGAGCTTCAACTTGTTTTTCACGACCTTATTGCTTAAGGTATGGTCGTGAATGAAGCATTTCAAGTGGCTGCTATGATTGAAAAATTGCCTCCTTCGTGGAGAGATTTCAAGAACTATCTTAAGCACAAGCGCAAAAAAATGAAGTTGGAAGATCTTGTGATACGTCTAAAGATCGAGGAAGACAACAAAACAACCGAGAAGAAGTCTCGTGGAAATTCAACGATCATGGGAGCTAATATCGTTGAGGAGACTGCTCCAAAAAGTAAGAAGAGGAAGAGGTCTTTTGGACAAACTAAGGAGCAGAACAAAAAGAAATTCAAGGGCAACTGGTACAATTGTGGAAAAATTGGTCACAAAAGCCCTGATTGTCGTCTCCCGAAAAAGGATAATAAGAAAGGACAAGACAACATAGTGGAGAAGAATAATGACATTGATGATCTTTGCGCAATGCTTTCGGAATGCAACCTAGTTGGAAATCCGAAGGAGTGGTGGATTGACTCTGGAGCCACTCGACATGTTTGTGCTGTCAAAGAAGCATTTGCGACTTACTCTACTGCTGGTCCCGAAGAAGAAATTTCCATGGGAAATAATACAACAGCCAAGATTGAAGGTTATAGGAAGATATTCCTGAAGATGACTTCCGGAAAGGTGTTAACGCTCAATAACGTTCTTCATTTTCCTACTATTAGGAAGAATTTAGTTTCTACTTCTTTACTTGTAAAGAATGGATTCAAATGTGTATTTGTTTCTGATAAAGTTGTTGTAAGCAAGAACGAAATGTATGTTGGAAAAGGCTACCTCACGGAGGGCCTTTTCAAACTCAATGTAATGGTTGTTGACAGTATGAATAAAATTTCAGCTTCTTCTTATTTATTGGAGTCAAATGATTTATGGCATATTCGTTTAGGACATGTCAATTATAAAACCTTGCGGAAGTTAATTAATTTAGAAGTATTGCCTAAATTAGAGTGTAATAAATCGAAATGTCAAATATGTGTTGAATCTAAGTTTGTAAAACATCGTTATAAGTCTGTTGAAAGGAATTCAAATCCTTTAGACTTAATTCATACTGACATTTGCGATATGAAGTCGACACCATCTCGAGGTGGAAAAAAGTATTTTATTACTTTTATTGACGATTGCACTAAATATTGTTATGTTTATTTGCTTAATAGTAAGGATGAAGCAATTGAAGCATTTAAGCAATACAAGAATGAGGTAGAAAATCAATTGAATAAAAAGATCAAAATGATTAGAAGTGATAGAGGTGGAGAATATGAATCTCCGTTGCAGAAATATGTTCGGAATATGGAATTATCCATCAAACTACTGCACCTTACACACCTCAATCCAACGGAATTGCGGAAAGGAAAAATCGGACATTAAAAGAAATGATGAATTCTTTATTAATAAGTTCCGGATTACCGCAGAGTTTGTGGGGGGAACCTATCCTTACAACTAACCGAATACTCAACAGAGTACCCCACAGCAAAATGCAATCTATTCCATATGAAAAATGGAAAGGAAGAAAATCCAACTTGAAATATTTCAAAGTGTGGGGGTGTCTAGAAAAGATACAGGTTCCTTTACCTAAAAGGGTTAAAATTGGACCAAAAACAGTAGATTGCGTTTTCATTGGATATGCTACAAATAGTAAAGCATGTCGATTTTTGGTTCATAAATCTGATAATCCCGAGATTGATGTTAATACGGTAATGGAATAAGATAATGCTGAATTCTTTGAAAGCACCTATCCGTATAAAACTGAAAACGAGTCGTTAAGTGAAAGAACTAAACGACCTCGGGAAGAACCAAAGGAAAATACTCCAAGTATAGAAGATTCAAGGCGTAGCAAACATCAAAGAACATCTACTTCCTTTGGACCAGATTTTGTGACATTCTTGCTTGAAAATGAGCCTCAAACTTTTAAAGCAGCTATATCGTCTTCTGATTCAGCATTTTGGAAAGAGGCAGTCAATAGTGAGATTCAATCAATTTTGGATAACCATACATGGGAATTGGTTGATCTTCCTCCAGGAAATAAGCCTTTAGGTTCGAAATGGATCTTTAAACGGAAAATTAAAGTTGATGGCACTATTGACAAATATAAGGCAAGACTTGTTGTTAAAGGTTATAGACAAAAGGAAGGCCTTGATTACTTTGACACTTACTCACCAGTAACAAGGATAACATCTATTAGGGTGTTAGTGGCACTAGCGGCCGTGTATGGTCTTGAAATCCATCAAATGGATGTTAAAACAACTTTCCTAAATGGAGAATTGGAGGAAGAGATTTACATGGAACAACCTGAGGGTTTTGTGGTTCCTGGTAAAGAAAAGAAAGTGTGCAAACTTGTTAAGTCGCTTTA